GTTCATTTCAAGTTAGTTTTATTGAAGGAACGCAGGCCAGGTTTGGGAGAAATTCTATAGTTCTATATATCAAGATAATTTTCTACGCTGTGGAAAATAGCAGATCGAAACTTCATGTTTATGTGCATCATGCTGTAAGCGAAGATTACTATAAACAGGAAAAGTACAGAATAAATCCCATTTGGAAACGGCAAATTTGATTTTGCTCCCATGAAAATCAGGTGGGGGCGAATTTGAAAACTCACACTGTTTTCAAGCAAAAAGGTCCATATCGCCTGATAAAATTCTTTTTTGCAAATGAATGGCGTTTCGTGCACGAAAGTCAGTAATAAACTAGGTTGACAGTAGTTTGCCTTATTACACAGAGAACTGCTAGGCGTAAACAGATATACGTTCAGTATGCACAACATGCGTTCACTATTCTGTGCCACGCTGTGCGATAAGTATGTCCAGACAAAGTCTCTCAGCGGTCAAATATAAAAGAATACTGAAATTAGCAGCAGACGGGTTGTCACGTCACTTTTTTGCAAGCATTTTTAATATTAGTAAGGTTACTGTGTGCTGAATACTTAATAATGGAACCTTGCACAAACTTAAGCAGGATTGACAAAAACGGTCCATACGTAAGCAAGACAACGATTTTATTCTTCATACACTAAAAGTATCAGTATATACCCATTATCACCATTAACATGGAACATCTGCCGATGTTCTATGTGAAAATAGGTCAGTAGGTCAGTCCACGAGTTAAGACACCTGGGTATGTGGATAACGTCAACTCTCAAACCATCGTCTCACTGCGCCAAGGTTTCAAAGAAAGCTATGGATAACGTAGGCGCGATTAAAAGATCCTTCCTCAATTTTGACGAAGAACTTTTCGGCCGAGTATTTGGAGCATTCGTTCGACCAATGTTGAAATATCGTGTTCAGGCATGCTGTCCCGGGACGAAGCGAGATTACGCCCTACTGGAGAACGTGCAACGAAGAGCTACCAGGCTAGTCGGCGGATTAAGTAGCTTACCTCATGAGAGACGCTAAAAAGGGCTGAAAATATTTACTCTCTCTTATAGACAGTACAAAGAGGATATGATCATGTCCTTTAGGATCGTCAGTGGACTAGACTGTGCTCTTCAGTTTGACGATTTCTTCGAACTGGCGCGACAACCAATCATCGAGGCCACCAATACAAATGGAAGTAAAATTATGCCAAAATCAAATTGCGGGGCAGATCCTTCTCTCACCGACTGGTTGAAGAATGGAACAAATTGTCGAACTCCGTTGTCTTACCAAAAGACTTTGAGGGCTTAAACAGAGGAATAGATAAATTTATGCTTGATGGTCAAACATTTACATGATATCAATGACTGGCATAACTGCTATGTAAATAGCTGCATGCTTTTTTCATACGTCTATCTGTGAATAGGTCTTTTAAGTCTCTGCCTATATCTCGCATATATACGGAATCATATTTTATGGATTATAGGCAATACCTCTCAAAACCCTATTCAAAATGGTGTGTACAATATCTGACGTCAAATGAACATGCTACTAAAGCTTTGTCAGTAACATATATGTACATTTTATGGAATATTGTCCATGAGTAAGCGGGACCGAAACTCGGGAACACTGACTTATAGGTGATAATGGTAAAATAACATACCAGTTATTAGCAATAGCGGAATGTGCATGCAGAGCGGGATTTCGAACTTCGCCGACAAAAGGCCATGAGCAAACCGTTTTGAGTATAAAACCTATTAGAGAACGCTTCTATTTATCAAGAAATACATTGATTACTGATACTCATTCTGGAAGAGCACTTACCTCGGCGATGAGGCCTTATTTTTAGACGGGTGGATGAAATCGACCCAGATAGCCGAATACGGAAAAACCTCCCAAAATAGCACATTGCGCCGATGGTAACCTTCAAGAACTGTCGACAGTTAATGGTTTAGATGACTATTAAATTGTAGGAGCTGCCAGTCTGGCATTCGACTACGGACATCATCAAAAGGGCGCTCTTCAACATTGTAAAGAGGTTTTCGATTACAGCGACATCCACCGACGCCAACTACGTACCAAAAGTTTACATGGCAATCTCCTGTCCTTCATGTTAAAGAAGTATAATCCAACAACGCTTTCGACCGTAATATGACTTCTTGGACAACAGCCTCAGTTTCCGCAAGTGGCCTCCAGTCGATTTTCCTCCCCGCCAACAGCCCGGATCTCAAGTCTATCGAAAATCTTTTCGCACCTATCAAAGAAAATTGGCAATGCATGAAAAACTTGATTTTGTACAAGACGATCACATTGAACAATCCATTATGGACAACTTGGCCATCCACATGCCTGAAAGAATTGATGCTGTGATAAGTGCAAATGGACAGTCGACAATGAACTGTTGTTTTTTATTATTTTTTCCCATTTCATGCATCCCCCTATTATGTACCCTAATAGTTAGCCCTACTTTAGCGATTTTTAATGCAACCATGTACAAAAATTCCGTTTAAGAACAATTGTGTTCTCACTGCCGTAAAACTTCGGGGAAGGCAGGCTGGGTGGATTTGGCGTTAGAGGGATTTTCTTGTGCTAACTCATAACATTATATGAGGTTGGAAGTTATGCAGACCCTTTGAGATCTGTTAACGGCCGAGTCATTTCTGAATAAACTTTGTACAATTTAGCAGATTTTAAATACCTTTTTTCCCTCCCTGAGTTTTGTAAGCTCATTTCACTTCCGTATATACGGTCCCAAGTATTCACCATAACCTCGAAAGCGAAAATATACCTATTTTTTATTCTGTAGTTTATGTAGTCTCGGCGATTTAACTACAATATTAAGACAAGCGCCGACGCCTCGATAGGAGATAAGTCTGATGAGGTGACGTTCGCATCGAGAATATGCGCTCACTCTATCTACGCTTCTAGCCTACGGTCGGCAAGGCGTGAAAATTGTGAGGTACGGGGAGGAGCCTTGTGGTAGGTGCGCATACATCCAAATCAAAGTAAGACAACTTGAAAACGAGCTCACTGACCAAAGGACGCTCACGCAGCAGAACGTTGGCGACCAGAAAGTTACCAGTGTTAGAGTCAAAAAAACAAAGAGCAAAACGCGAAAAACACAAAAAATCGTTTCAAGAGCAGCTCCAAGCAAGGGTAGCAACTCAGGAAGAACAGGCGCGGGTATCGGGAACAGCAAGGAAGCCGCGGATAGGGGCAGGCTCGATTTCCATGCAAGACAACGTAAGCGATGCCACGAAAATATGATCTGTCGCGGGAGCCATCTCGCCTCCTCCTTTGCTGAAAGTGACGGGATTTTTCTTATCAAGGGACGATAAAACTACGTCACCCAGTCTACAGTTGCCCTCTTGTTCTCGCAACCACCCCGAGTGCCGTATATAGCACATATTTGACTGCGAACACAGGAACTCGTGCGTAGGGGGTGGGGATCCCTTATAAGCATTCCGCATAACGAAGGGGTTGAGGACTGTTTTCAATTCGCTATCACGATGAACCTCCGAAGTTACCCGTCAAAGCCGCGCACTCAGCGGACGAGGCTGGATGCGCGGAAGTACTCCATCTCTGCTTGAGTTAGCAAACCATGGAATGCACTGCCTGCAGATGTTGTAATGTTACGGCCGGTACAGGGCTTTAAAAATAACATTGACGTATTAATGTTCTGAAATGACCAAGAGCAATGAGAAATCGAGCTCATCCCCTGAGTCTCGCTCTCATTTTTTCAAACTACTATGAGATCGTTTGAATTATTTCGGCCCCGATAATTTCGCTGAACACCGCACCCAGTTTTCTGCTGCAAATATGGTACTTAAAGGCGCACGCCTATTTCCCTTACTGGACTGAACAGAAGCGAGCCCCGAACCCTAATCTTGAGTAACTACTGCATCACATTAAGCTACTAACCCAACTGACGTGCCGTTAGACGAAGGCGCGCTCTGGCCAATATAGTGTATTACAAGACGTTGCGCGATGGAAGGGCTTCCTCATATGCCAATGTTTAAGGTGCCGTGGAAGCCAAGTCCTGTTTCTCCGGACATTTCGTCAATTAAAAAGGTTTAACTTAATTGCTGCTATTTTGATTGTCTCATAGAAAGTCCGTGCCAGATACGGGGAGCAAATGCACATAGACGAACAATTATTTACATCATTCTTACAGCTGAGAACGGTACTTTTGTCTGTCGTTAAATAATTTCCAAATCCTACGTAGAATAGCTGCAGGCCGCCCATCGATGTGAGCAGTATATCGAAAATCCGACGCTATTACGCTCAACTCATGCTTCTGAAAAACCGAATAAATCTTTCCGAACCGAAATTTGTTCATTGGCCATGGTAAGTAGCTGGGCTACAGAGTGCTTCATAAGAGAGTTTCTCACAAACCGACAGAAATATTGCGACACCTAACTTTTGTATAGTTGTGACAACCCCCACTTTTTGGAATTCACAGCGACATCTGCCCGATGTTTTGATTCTAGAAATCTCGTCTCCACCGCTGAAATCGCGTCTGCCTGAAGCCTATTTTACATATGGGAGCATTCTCATGTTTACACAAAACGTTCTTAAAATTTTAGTAGCTAACAGACTTTCCAATTCGTTTTTGGTACCTTTGCATTCACCGGTTTTAATTTATTCTACAGGCAAGATGCCCTAGTGGAATCCAGTTTCGTTCGAGATGAGGCTGAGTATGAGGAGGCAGCAACCCTATACAATTTAGGTTCTGCTCATTCAATTGTTGGCGAACAAGAAAGTCGTGCGGATGATGACGTGCGTCTGAATGTTATGCTCATATCGGTTTCAAACACGTATGGTTTTTATATCGTCATGACTGTTCCATGCCGTTGCTTATTTACTGTATTGTCCTTCTTTCCGTAGCTCATCTATTTTTGCGGTTTTCACCCAACTACAATCGATTACAGGCTATCCAGTTTCTCAAAATGCAGCTCGTGCCGTAGCATATCATAATATACATTCTGTCACAATCTACATCTTTCATCAAGGTGAATCTGTAACAGAGGTATAATTGAGGTGCGAAGTTGGAGCGAGTTAATTTCGGAATGATTTGCGGCTCGTCAATTGATTCAGCAGTCGACGCCCAAACTTTGGCAGTGGCTTATTTTCTCGATAACTCGTGCTCTCTACCTCCTTGAGGTTTCAAGAACGTGGGTACGAATTCTTGACGTGAACAGCCTTCGCCATTTTTTGCCTGTCAAGTGTGCCTTGGTAGTTTGTAAAAGCTCGGTTAACGCAGACCAATGTAAAATCGAAATAACTGTAGACTGATAAATAACTCGCTCTCTTCTACCGAACATGGCCTTTGTTCAGAGAACATTTGTCATTTGCAACCACTGCCGCTTTGCTCCCTCTACTTTTTCTTCCAACTACTCCCACTGATCCGCGCCGACCTATGTTTTCTGCCTTCACTAGGTTTTCCTTTCGCTGATGTTCACTGTACCCAGCCCTTGTTTTGCAAACGACCTTGTGTAATGGGAAAGGTGACATCTTAAAAACCGTTCGACATGCCACTAGTTGCTGGTCACTGACACATGTGTTGCATATTTGGCTATTATTTCATGAGATTCCCAGGATGCGGTAGTTTCTTCGGTGAATTCGCGATTGCGCCAAATGCTTCACCGCACGATTTTGATATCTGTTTGTGGCCCAATCTGTCTTAGTCTTTCACCCGTGATTTCATGAAGGTGAAAGCAAGGGCGACCTTCGAAACCGTCTCAGACAGCGGACGAATCTAAGTGAGGGCACACTGTCTCTCCTACCGTGGCTTATTTCCGTGCGGCACTCGTTTTTTATCTGAACGAAAACAGCTGTGTATCGTACGTGCTGGCGTGGGCCTTGTGCCACCAAAACCAATTACTAGTCCAGATGTAGCCTTGCTACACGAACACGATGTGCGTGAGAAAATAGAGTGATAGAGTACGGTTGGCGTCGGTTAAACCTCCCTCACCATCACTCAAATCGTGCTCAAACTACCACCGTTTCTTCCAGGTAGTGGGGGTCACGAGCACTTTTGGTCGACAATTTATCGTCTTTTCGCTCATCTTATGGTTTTAATGCAATCCGGACCGTCCATACCATCAACAATGGCACAGTGGGTGTGGCAATTCAGGTAACTGTGTCTCAATCCTAGAAATAATGTGCTCTTCATTGCCGTACGTTTCGTCTTTCGCGGGACAAATTTTAATGCAACATTATCTCGATTTTTTAAAAGCGCTTTTCTCCATTTTAGAGCCTTAAACAAGCCTGCACGCAGTTCCAGTGCGCAGCATGGGTTTTTCAAACGCTACGAGAACGCTATGCACAGTTCGAAAACGCTAACGACATGCATGGTGACCTCTGTCGTTTTTACCACTCACTGATGCTGGTAAGTGCGTGCCCTATAGTGAGATTGTACCCTGTCCCCAACTGTTTCCCTTAATGGCCTTATCTGAAAGTCCATCCTTGCGTTTCCGGCCATTTCTGTCTGGCCGACAGTGAATTCAACTGACCTTTAGCATTCCTAAACATTTTCGTTACTGCAGTGCGTATGTTCTTGATAAAATTAGGGTCAGGCCCAGGAGTGTGTAACCGAGAAGTCAATGTTAGACGGTCGACCGCCAATCGTGACCGCCAAGCTGACGAAATTCCTGACAGAATCATACGACTACTGCTGGAATCAACTCAATGCACAGACTCTTGCTTCACTTCTTCCCGAAAAATTCCTGCGGGTAAGTTACTTCTTAGAGGTTCGGTCGTTTAACCGTGGCCCTTATGCACTAGGTTTTGGAAAAGATTTTTTAAATTCATCCTGCGTGTTGCTAAAACAGTGATCGGCAATACGCTCATCAGGCTTTTTGACCAGGATTGAGTGGAAGAATGTGTATGGCCTCCAAAACAAGTTAGGCTGTTTTTTGTGCAGAACGCTAGCCTTTAAATAGCACTGCTATGATCATTGATGACTTCGCGCATAGTTTCTCCGGATGATAATTTACGACAGCGAGTCTGAAAAGCTCGATACGTTGTCCGATGACGGAGGCCAAATATCGGAGATTCAAGCACTAAACCTATGGCCTTGCTTTACGCCAATTACTGTGTTTAACCAGGTTTTACGGCTTTTTAAAAGGTGGAGGCAAGGGAGCAGAGAGTGCAGGTTCAGCACTTAGTTTTTTCACCATAATAGATAAAACTCACATAAAAACTATCACCACTCGCAAAAAGCTGTGACTTGGGAGGTTGCCAACTGACTTGATGGGTAGATTTCACCCTGAGATCATGCTCAAACGGGAATAGCACATTCCTGATGTGCCATCCGTGGCAGCTCACAGCTATGTAAGATCTGACAAGTGCGGTCTAAAGGACCGACGTTCATGTGGCTCGTGCAGACCTAGTTTCAGCCTCAAAACTCACTGCACCTACGTCCGTCCCCACCCATCTTGATTATGTCGTACTACCAAAGCCTGGCGGGTGTGGAAAGAGGAGGATGGAATTGATCCTACACAAGTCTCCCTCACAAACCAATTCACTTGTGATTTACTACTGTTTCCGACCCGCGACAGGGATGGTCCCTGTCGCCTGTGATGGACGAACCTGTGATAGAAGCAAACCAACGTTTGTCAGGGTTAATTGAGGAAATCTGTCCACCAGTACTCATGCTCATAAACAGTTCAAACCAGCTGATGACCACAAGGTTAATGCCATCATCCTTTGCTTCACTCATCGCATTACTCATCAGTGAGGGTTACACGAAGATATAGTCAAAACTGTCCAGAGGAGTAGCTGAGCAATGAAAATTTTCACTTTGTTTGCTTTGAAAGAAGGGTACTCTCGGTTATTGCCGTCCCAGCTCTGAGCCAGTCTTCTTGCGGCCTGCAATTTTAGGCAAAACAGCTATTTTAGACTGTCATAATGCTGTTTTCGGATGGCGTCGCACCTCCATTACTCTCAGTTGACTTTAACGCGAAGCTCTCATCATAGTAGACTTCTCTCAGCCGACACTTGACTCACCCAGCCATCACGTCGGCGAACGTTATCAAGGGCAATTGTTGTGGTCTGGGTCCGTTGCGGACTCAAATTATCCCACAAGTTTTCAACCGTGTAGGCTACGCTTTCTAAGGCCGCCTGATATTTCAAAAACGCATTCGATTTCTTATGACGATAAAGAATCGCCCAGGATCGACCTCCATCCTTTCCTACATAGTTAGCCAGCCTGCGACTGTGATGAAATTAAGCAGTGGCCTACGTATCAGCTGGCTTTCGTATGCGGCCGTCCACACATGCGTTTTGTTTCCGCCTAAGTTTGGAACTTCGCTGTCATTTTTGACCGCCCCCTTGGCTTCAGCCATCGAAGTCGCGCACGACCTCAGCAGACGATCTCAAGTAGCTTATATTGTTCAGGTCTTTATGCCTCGTCGTCTCATCAATCCAAACTACCCGACGGAGTAGTCAAATATATATTTTAACTGAGAAGTATTACTCATGAAGATGAAGGACACTGTGAAGACCACGTTGGTCTTCGGCTTTTCCCTTTCTTACCGTCATAGTAAACCCAGTGACTCTGTTTCATTTTAAGCTTTTTTAAATCATGAAATTTACTGGACTCCACCTATCCTATTTTCTGTCGACTGGTAGGAGTGGAAGCGTCTGGTTCTAGTGAAAAAACTCGCCTTTTCTGCGCTTAGCAACTACTTTCTTGCTATGGACGCGGCAACGAAAATGAAGTTTGGTCCAGGTGTAACTTGGCTCAAACAGGCAGACACCGACATAACACAGGCTGTCAAGGTCGCAAAAGAGGCCTCAAATGCCTCCAATTCGCCGCGCTTCGGTGCACCTCTTCTTGCTGTGGTTACTTTCGCCCAAAACGTCATCTCTGCTAGGCGAGTTTGTCATGTTGTTTTTTGTAGACCTGGCTCTGCTGTCAGTTAACTCCTTTTTCAGTTGTTTTCTTAGCCGGCCCTAACAATAAGCCTTCGAAAAAAATCCAAGCAGCTATGACATTGTGGCAACCCTCTAATAATATTGGAGTAACATCACGTGGTCTTACTGGATAACATACAATCTTTATTCAGGTTTCAGTAGAGTACCAGTATGAAAAAGATCAAGTAACCAGAAGTTTTTCAACCTCTTGGTTTAGTGACTGATCATGAGGGTGTTTTCGTTGTTAACTTTCATTTTAGCGACAGAATTTGCTTCCCGGTAATGATAAAAAAAACAAATAGTAAAGCGCCCTCCACGAAACTTCGTTGCCTTTATTAAGCAGACCTCATTGAACTCTAAGGGAAGTTATATATTCCTGCAAATTATATGGAGAACCCTGCCAAGTTGGCAGTTCGGTTGAAACAACACTTACTTAGTGTTGCACGTAAGTTATATGACACTCCCTCTTAATGAGCGATAACCATCTTCACTAGACTGAACTTTGGCGGACACTGTTAATGGAAATTAGGAAGCGTTCAAATAAATTTTAATGAGCTATAAATTCATATCGAAAGTGGAATTGGTAGAGGTACTGTTGTTTTTATTTCAACATCAACAGTGGTGTCCGGCTAGAGCAATCTTGATCCAAAACTCGCATTCACATTGCAGATGGATATCGAACTTTTGGTCAGCATCTGGGATGTTTTTTGATTTAATATCTACGTTTTTAAACCCGTTGTGGGTGGCAGCGGAGTGCGTTGTCCTCGCCTTTGGTATAAAACTCTCGGAGGTGTTGTTGCTGAGATAGATAAGAAGGTATCTCGTGAAACCAATGCAACTTCCTTAACCTTGACGCATGCCGATGTTCACTTGTCAGGTCTTCAACGGACATCGTTTGGGGCATCAGAAATTCAATTATTATTTTCAAGATTTACTTTCGGTTTGCCATCTCGAAAGCCTTCATGAGATCTACCAATGTAGGCGTAATTCAGATTTCTGGGTGTATGCATAAGTGAAGAAGAAGAGGGGTCGGGCACCGGAACATTTTGTTTATTGTCCCGAGCTTTGGAACTCGTGCAGGAGTCCATCGTTAAAGATATTAGCAGCAACAGAACAAGCGACAGTTATAGGGCATGTAGAACAATCATCGACCGAGAGCGCAAGACTGGAGATGACTGCGCAGGGCTCTGTACGTTGGCGCCAGGTTCGTAAATCGATTGGCTCATCCGAGGCCCAATCAATTATCGGCCTGTTTTGTTTCCGGTGTGGGCGACTATTTTGGTGGCTGCGAAGTTAAACTCGTGACTCATTTCGTAGGTGTGGACGGCCACTTGTGATAGTGCGTCGCCTCGTCACACAGCCAGCTTATATTCGTATATGCGCGATCCAAGCATGCGTCCAGTCTGTACTGTGTAGTTACAAGGACAATTTTGACACGGAATGCTATACACTACTCCAGATTACTCTTAAGGCTTTCACCGGTCTTTAACTTTCATGACCCTGTTGCGCATGATGGCTTTGGGGCGGTGTGCAATCCCAACACCTAACTCCGCAGCAGTGCGCTCGGTCGCTTCTGAAACGTCCTTGATGTATGTCAGAGAATGCCATATCGTCGGTGGTGTTGATGTTTGAGTTCTCTGGGGTCGACCGCGTAGGCAGCGACTTATGAATGCCCTCGGGTAGCCATTTTGCACAAAGTGGTCAAGGGGATAACGGGTCTCAGGAGGTCTGTCTTCCGGCTTGCTGCAGTGTGTTTGGATCCGTTTGAAGAGCGTCTTTACACAGCTTCGTTTGTGAACCACCGGGTGATTGCTGCGAAAACTGACAAGCCGTGTGGTGTTCGTTGTCTTCCTGTTAACCGCGTTTCAAGTTCACCATAAAGATTTCGTCTGACGATCACATCCAGGAAGGGCAACTGCTGTTCCTGTTCTTCAACCCTCTTGAATTTTATATCAGGGAAGACTGCGCCATCCAGGCTGTGGAAATGTTGTAGCATGTCCCTCTTTACGATGACAAACGTGTCGTCTACGTAACGGCGCCAAAATACCGGCTTATGTTGGATAAAGGCAATCGTTTCTAATTCCTGTGGGACCAGTCCTGCCGCTAAACCGGAGCCCGGTGAGACCGGCTTCTCGAAGGAGTCCTTGCTGCAGGCGTGAGTTCAGGTAGTTGGGGAGAATAGGAGCCGAGATTTTGCCAACTACGCTGAGAAGCAATATACCATGAGAATTATCACACGTTTGCTCATTTCCTTGTCTCCTGTAGGGGTACGATTTTGTGACGTCCTTGAAGTCTTGGTGAATTTGTCTTTACTCTCGCACTTCCTGGCATAGCGGAGCAATGCTACGCAAAAGTTAAGCCTTCGTTTTTGTACACTTCGGGTGAAATTGAGTCAACATCCGGGCTTCTGCACTGAACAGTCCCTACTCTATTTTATGTTACCTCTGTGCAAACACGACCACCAGCTGCCGACCAACGCGGTAAAGGAATCTACCTGCTGCTGCGAGAACTGATTGAAAGTCTCCCCTGCCGTGATACGCTGATTGTTTCCGGGGACTGAAATTGCCGGACTGGACCCGGCGACTTCAAAGAGTCACCGTCTTAAACATTTTGGGCTTGGCTGTCTATGCGATAATAACGACAGAATGCTGCATTTTGTCGATCAAAGCCCACTATTTGTCACAGACGCGTGTTTTCATCATCATCATCATCATCATCATCATCATCATCATCATCATCATCATCATCATCATCATCATCATCATCATCATCATCATCATCATCATCATCATCATCATCATCATCATCATCATCACAAACATCTGCTGACCGGGCGTCCAAACGACTGCTTTTCGGCCAGCCACATCGAGCAAATTCCTGTCCGTTCAAGGCTCCACAGCTGGTTTCACCATAGCAGATCGATGCGTTGTGCTGGAACTGGTAGCGCCCTTGAATCGGGCCATGTCCATGTTTGCACACACCTGACAGTTCACCTCTCATCCGCACCTAAATTGTCACGTGCAAGACGCCTTAATGTCGCGACAATACGACAACCCTGCACAGTCGAGGCCTTTATCACAAATCCGGTCTCGATATTCGAACCGAGTCGAAGGTGTGGGCTGAGGACGTAATCGTTTTTGAAGTTATCATTTTATGAGGCAGCCGAAACACTCTTGGGCCAACTTAGTGACGCCGCAGTGACTAGACCAGCAGAAGAACCTTGAAGCTGTTTGTCGAGATGGCTCGAGCCTGGCCCTGTTACGACGATTCCTTCCGCCAGCTCCGGAGAATGGTGGCTAGGGATGACCACAGAAATTTGGGCTGAAACTGCAACTTTCATGGAGCAGGCCTCAGACGTTAGTGACGCTCGTCGACGACCAAATCATCCGTCGAGCAACTGTTCGCAATCTGGATGGCGGTATTATTACTGACGACTCCGCCTAGATCGAGGACTGGCGTGAGTTTTTCGCAAACCTTTTCAACTTCGATGACAAACGCATCACTCCCTTGCTCCCTGCTGCGGAATTTTGTCTCTGTAGCCTTTGTAGTAATCCACGACCTCGCCTCAGGGAGAAATCGTCGATGCGATACGGAGGCTGCACAACTGCAGGGCGCCCGATGGGAACGGTATTCCTATTGAATTCTACAGGTCTTGTATCAACACTCTGGCGCGCTGGCTTCAGTGAGTGCCTGAGCAAGGACGGGGAGATTAGCTTGCTCCCGATAACTGGGGCTCGGTCACCCTCGTGCCTGTCTTCAAGATGGGAGATAAGAAAAAGTGCAAGAAATACCGCAGCATAAGACTTCTCGACGTTGCTCCGAAGATCTTCCCTGTTGTCATTCGCAGGTGTGACTTCAGGACAACACCCAATCAGGCTGAGCTTCGAGCTGGGCGTAGGCTCGCCGACCAGATATTTACGCTGCGGCGCATTCTTGAATTATGCCATGGCTACCGGTAACTTTACACTATCTGCTTGATTTCGCCACAGCGTTTGATTCTGTCCATTGCAAGTCCCTGTGACGGACGATGGGAATAGGCGGTATGTCGGCAGATTTCGTCGGCATTAGCGCCCCATCACTGCGTGGGTTTTGGCCCACAGCAATCCCAGCCGTTCGATGTTAAATTCGGTTTTCGACACCATTGACTGGATGCTCGGATGGCCCCTACACAGTTTCGACGGGGTTAAATTTGCATTCGTGCGCTGGCTGGCTGATTTTGACTACGCTGACAATGTCGTACTCCCGGCCTCAAACTTTGATGACTTACAGTCTGGGATGTTGTGTCAGAATGGATTCGTTAAGTCGGCCGATTTGTCCGTGGACGTTGGGACAGGGACAGTCGCAGTCTCTGATGATGGGTTCGAGTGAGAATCCGAACCGTCAGGCCAATAAATTTCATGTTTCAATGATCGCACCTTCGTCTTCTGAACTGCCTCCTGGAACTCGCCTGTTCGCTTCTATCAGCAAAATTGGAGGTGTTTGACCACCGCCACCTGTAAACCATCTTTCGAGTGGAAAAAAACTGACTCGGTCTCCAGTCTGACAGTTGGCACTCGTTACGACAACACCGTCAGGATATCTCAGGGTATCTACGGAAGACGACTGAGGTGGTCTCCACACGTTCTTTGTCATCCGTTCCGTGAGCTTAGTGTTGCTGCCCTCGATCCGGCGCCGTTACCCACCTGCGGGCATCGAAGAAGATTCATGCTGACTGCTTGGTTTGGCATAGTCCATCAGGATATGGAAAGGGTTCTCGGTTATTCAGCATCCACTTCCCGTCGTTAGAGAACAGAATGCGTTGAGCTGCCCAGGTCCGCTGCCGCAGATCGTCACGCGTGGATAGGTACAATTCGCGACATCACCGGGGCCGGCCAGCTGACATCGTCGGGGCAGGCTCTCTTCATTCTTCCCTACGAAGTAGTTCCTCCATTGCTGTTGTATCTGTCTCGTTTGTTTTCCTTTTTTGTCATTTCTACTTTTGGATTTTTGTCGAAAGCAACCGAGGTGAATATGATTGAGTGTTCATACTTGGCATTCTAATATAGTTCGCATCTCTGCTCCTTACAGGAACGTATTCGAAGGACAGCCCTGTTCATCTTCAGTTTTTTTTATTGAGGTGGAGACCTCGGCGATTTTAAACCGGAGGCTGTTGCGCGCCTGGAGATCCGACGGGTGATCTGATCATCTACCTTGAGGTTATGCTCGCCACGCACACTTATTTGTCCTCAGATGTGGGCGAGCGCTGTTGACATTGATTCTAGGGTCATAGTACCCATCAGATTGCGCCGGTTCGGTAAATAAAAACTGTTTTCTCACCGTCGATGGTCAGTCCGAGATTTATGCGGACGGAGGCGAAGGGGTCCACATGTCCGCATGTCTGCTTCCGTTGTGATGTTGAGCGCTCATTTGTACGCAAACAGGCGGTCATGGACACTGGATTTGGAGTATAGCATATTTTCATGCATACAACAGATGTAGGACAGCTGTCCGGCAGTTCGGTAGCTACTATGGTGGATATCCATCAGCATGACGGAAAACATGCGACTGAATGGGGGGGGGGCAGGCGCTGAGTCCTACTTTACCCTATTTGTCACCGCAAATGCGTCAGAGACCACCCTATTGTGCGTAATGTGAAGCATACTTCTCTTATGTAGTTGGTGCACCATTTGTCTAAAGCGGTCTGGACATCGGTATTTCAACATTGTTTTCCAAAATCCAACTTGATTTACTGCATCGAAGGCCGCCGTCAAATGTACGAAGATGGTGTGGAGTTTGGCTGTATTTCTTGACATTTCAGAAGATTGAGTAGGACACAGACAACGATTTTTTCCGCCGGTGTTCAGAATGGAAGTGCCTCTACGTTTGTCACGGGGTTACCAGTTCTCCTTGTGTTTGTATGGGTGGACGATGGTGGCGTCCTTGTAGTTCACGGCGATTTGTCTTTGTCCGCATATCGCCTGAAGTGGCGAGGTAAGTTCCTCTATGAGGTGAGGGCCGCGATATTTGTAAAGTTCAACTGGATGAGTCAGCCCCGCTGTTTTGTTGCAGGACATCAGTTGAACAGTTTTGATAATCTCCTCTACTGAGGACGGACGATCAAGGCCTGTTGGTTTCCATATGAGGAGGTCACTCAATGGATTGTCTGGGTCTTGTGAATGCCTAAGGACGCCTCTGAAATGCTCAGCCCAGCTTTTCACAATTTGCGCTTCGTCAGGAGGGTTGTTTCGTTGGAATTGAGCATGTGCACAGCTCCTTTGGTCTGGAGCACGCAGACCGCCTTGGGGGACAAAACGAAGTTTATCATTTCACTGCGATCTTCGTGGGCTTGACTTTATTTAGCCCTGTGGATCATCCAAGCATTTTGAATCTCCACCAGTCGTCGTTGCGTCAGGTCCCGGCACCGACTAAAACGGCATTATTGATGTGTCGGTTCTGCTGCTGACATAAGTCATGCGTAGCCGGTTCTCGGAGAGCAGATTGCAGACTTTTTCGTCATTATCAAACCAGTCCTAGTGCTGACGGCATGTGGTGGTCTGGATGGTGTCCCGCAGCTCCCACCATTGGGTGTCGACAATTTGTATGCACTTCCAGGGTTTGGACTGGTCCAAGGTTGGGGTTCATACAACTGCCAAAATTGAATCGGCGTTTGATCACATCCAGTAATGGAATATTTAACTTACCTGACAACCTGAGGATAGCCAGAGCATACAGGTTTCAAGACACACTTTCTATGACCCGACTGCTTGCTTTTTCAGTTACAAAAGCGCAGTAAAGGACAACGACACTGTGTACCACGACCGCGTTCCCTCCCTGGACGAATTGGATGCCATCAAAGGTGAGTAAGTTTCGTCCTTAGGGCATTGTATACATGCGCCATGCGTTGTCATCTTTTCCTTCTTACGACTACCCATGATGTCTTTGGTTTCCAGGGGCCAACGTCGTGAAACCCATCCCCTTTGATCACACTGACCCCGAGGTTGTCGGTCAAGATATCTTCAAGGACCTCCTGCCCATTGAAACTCTTGAGGCGAGCTCCATGTATAGGTACGACAGTGGCATGAGATCCTTTTGTGACATTCTGCTTGGCAGAACCTATAGCCCTGACAAAGTTCTTTCTGTATTTCTTCCTTTAAGTGAGATGAAGGCCGACTTTTTACGCAAAATTCTAGCAGAAGTCGAGGAGAAAGACGTAGCTTTAGGGTGAGTCCAGAAGTCTTCTTTCCTTCAAGTAACTTGAAATCTTCACCATACAACAGTATTTGAAAGGCATATATGTCTGAGAACCATACAATTACCCTCTGGCGTCCCGTTGAAGGCCTTTATCTTAGTTTTGCTGGCCGGGACTGTGCATACGCCACTTTCAACCACGTAGAGGAAACCGAAATGCGAATTTCACATTTTATCTCTATTGCCTTAACTTCCTCCTCCAGACAGTTTTATTTGTCATGCTCATGTTAGCATCCAGCGACCTCTTGTGTTTCATTCTGCGCGAGCTTGGGCGATGGAATGAGAACATACAAGT